TGTGTGTGTGTGTGTGTGTGTGTGAGTGTGTTACAGTGGCAGCAGATGATAGCTTTGTATAACGATACCCCTGTGTACCTCAATACATGTGCGCACACATACACACCCTCTCTCTCACACATACTCCCATGCATATTCTTTCCACCCTATGTGACTGTCCAAGTGGTAGAAGGTGCCAATAGCCTTAAAACCACAGGAAAATTGCATTTCAGATTCATAAATTCAATTGTAATATGAATAACAGCAGATTGGAGGCAAGGAGCGGGCTGTTTTCCCAATGACGGCAAAAAACGAACTAAATGTAAAGATAATGACTTTTTCCACAGTCTAACTGCGCCTCAAATTGCATCTCAACTTACCAGACAAATAGGCAGTTAAAATAAAGTTGCACTTGAACCTTACATGGTCATTTCATTTTTAATGGTTTACTCCCAAGAGTGTCTTCAAATTATTCAGCGGTCAGTAAATGTGAGTGGTGAGGAAATGTACACAGAGCGGGCTGTTTGTGGCCGGCTTATTGCCCTCAGTTTTGAGGCTGAACAGTGACTTTGCGTTTGCAACGTCTGTTCCTTGTTCTTGTCTGAGAAAGTGCACATGAGCGCACATTCCCTCGCATGCACGCACACACACACGCACGTTTGAGACGAGCAGTAAGTTGCTTGGCGGTGGTGGTTGTTCTCATAACATTGTTTCATTGCTGGCATTTTTCTGTGGTTCTAAATCTGGGTCCTTGTTTGTTGATGCAGAGGGTGGAATGGAAGTGCGTGTGTGGGTGTGTGTGTGTGTGTATGTGCAGGATGAATGGTACTCATCATAGGCCATTTCTGGTCATCCCTAGTCATACCGTCTGTATTTATTTGAACAAACTAATGCTTTGATTTACGGGAACTTTTATAGATATTATTCCGTTCTCTTCCTCCCTGCTCACTGTCTCTCCACATTTCTGTCTCTCAGCTCACTGCTTCAACCAGGTGTGTGTGTGTTGAGCCCTTAAACAGGGGGATAGAAAAGGGAGAACCCCACACTTAGCCCTCGTCTTCACTTGATCTGTATTGAGTATTAAAGGGCATATGTAGACTTTTTTAAAGGAACTGGGGAAGTGGGAAATTTTCACTTTCTTGCTAAGAATTTGATGAGAAGATTGATACCACTGCCATGTCTGTAAGCTAGATATGAAGTTAGAGCCAGGAGGTGATTAGCTTAGCTTAGCATAAAGACTGAAAGAACAACAAACTCTGTTTTGTTTAAATGAGGATTTACTGTTTATTAATCACAAACAAGGATCTGCACCACCACCCATACATTGACCAGCACCATAAAACCATAATGAAATAATATTATCTGAAAATGAAATAATCGCATGTTTGCGTCCTTGAATGTATGCCTACCAAATTTTGCTCTTGAGCCCCTCGACGTACGCACACACACTCACACAAACACACATAGAACTCCCATAAGTTCATAGGCCAGTCCCCATATCTAATCCCAGGCCTTTAGTGAGACAAAGGACTCTGTTCTCTCTACGGCCACCATGCTAATCTGCCCTCCAAACTACAAAGACACTCCAGCAGGCTGCTCCCTGCTTCTACAGGGATTATCATTCATTTATTGAACCGGCTCTTATGGGTTTGGAAGAGAGAGAGAGAGAGAGAGAGAGAGAGAGAGATGCAGTTGCATACAGTTTAGGGGAGCAAAAGGCACAAAGCCACTTGAGTTTATTTTCTTTCACCGAGCTAAAAGCGTGATTGAAATGTTAATATAGGAGAGCCTGCAGTCCCATATTCTCCACTCAGATAAATTTCTCCATCTGTGGAGAGAGAAAGAGAGAGACGGGGATTGTTAAAAAAAAGAAAGAATGAGAAAGAGCAGCAAATAAAGAACAAGAGTTTAAAAAAAAAAGTGAGACAGAGAGGCAGGAATGTGGGAGCAGCCAGTAAAAGCGCCCCATGTAATCGCCAGCGTAATCCTTGTAAAATTACCCAGCAAAGGTGGTGTGTGCATGTAGTGTGTGTGTGTGTGTGTGTGTGTGTGTGTGTGTGTGTGTGTGTGTGTGTGTGTGTGTGTTTTCTGTCAAGGTGCCTAATTAAAGTTGACAAAATAAAAGACTGTATCTTCTTCCACTTAATTATTCATCAGGGCAATTTCTTAATACTGCAGTTGAAGTTCTTCTCTGTTATTTGAGTTTCGAGTTGATTAGCGGGCCATTCGGATGTGTACTTGCAACACTTTTTTGTTATGGTATTTCGCAATCCCCCTCATAAAGCCCTCGACTCACCCATATCTCTCCCCCACTTCTCTTTCTTCAACTGTAGGATTTAATTCCCGTCATGCCTTCATTCTCATACAAAGCATGCCAGAACTGATCATTTTCATGGTGATACTGTGCCTGTCTGCTGTGGCAGGAGGACAGTCAAGGGTAAAATCTTACAGTGCAACATTAATAGGATGAGGTTAATCTCCATAAACTTTAGTGGATTAGTACTCAAGTCTTGTTCGAGGAACAGGCCTTACATGAGATTTACAACGTTGCATAAACATCAAATTTTTAACCTTGATCATTGTTCCTCTTGCTTCCTCTCTGTCTGATTGACCTTTACACGGAGCAGCGCCAGCGACGACGCCAGCATCACAATGCATTCATAAACTCTTGAACGCACACACACACACACACACACACACACACTCATACATCACGCAGACCACACTAACACAGATCTCCCACTCTCGGATGTGAACACAAATAAACATACTGATTGGGGCATTAATCATGCATGAACGCCCACATGCATACACACACAAACACACACCACCACATACACCACACCCCTTGGTTGTTTAGCAAATTAATTAGGCCAATGTTCAATAGGCTCTTAGCTTTAATGAATAGAGCTATAGAAAAGAAGGAGTGACAGCAGGAGAACCGAGAGGGACGAGCAGCCTGAGAAAAATCAGAAGAACGGTTATCGCTCGTTCTGGCCTGACCTCAGAGGTTAACGACCTTTCTTGGCAGACCAGCACCCACTGCGGCTTGAATATTTCTTTGGTAATTCAAGGAATTATTAATCTTTCACTTGGGAAAAGTCTCATTTGAATAAACACAGCTTATGGCAGAGTCACTGCATGCAATATTTTGTCATTTTCAGAACAGATTTGGCTACGGACAAACATGATTCACTGACTTTTCAATTGGAAATTGTTGACACTTTTTTCCCCTGTATGTATAAAGGTTTTCTATCTGTAAACAAATGGATAGAGAATTTTGTTGACGGTACATTTAAGAATATTATGGCGCACTGTTAATAATAATGTAAATCAATAATCATTATTATGTCTATAGCTCCTTTTTAAACTATAGATTATATGGTGCAGCACAAAACAAATTGTGGAGTGAAGTCATATATTTGAGGGAGAAAAAGTAAAAAAGGAATTAGTGATGATATTATGAGAAGAAAGTCATCTTATTTTGAAAAGAGAGTTGCCAATATTATGACTTTATTGTCAAAATGGCAGATTTGTTTTTTTCCCAACAAAGACCATAAGTCATCATTATGCTTCAGGGGGAAGCCTCTGAAACCCACTTCCACCACATCTTTAAAACTTTGGAACTGGGGGGAGTTGCACAAATGTTATCCAAATCTGACAATCCAACAAGCATGTCTCCTTAAAGGTGTAAAAAGAGCAGGATCTGAACTTCTCTCGGGAGCTCTCTTTTTTTCATTCTTCACACTTCCATCACCTTTCATGTGTACAACACCATGAATGCATTCTGGGAGCAACTGTCCAAAAGTGTACGCCGTTATCCCCATTTATACAATCATGTTGCGTACCTCCCTTTGAAAGCAACCTTTTCACCTTGTGTGGCCATTCTGAAACAATCTTTAAGTTAGTTGGACGACACATCACATGAGCTAGAACCAGGGGTGGGTAGTAATGGATTACAAGTAGCGCACATGAGTAAAAAAGTATTTTTTTAGGGAAAGAGTACTATTCATGTTACTTTTTATAAGCTAGGCTTCTTTTTACTTTACTACATTTGCATTTATAGCTTTATTACAACCAGTCTGCTGGGGGGAGAGAGCACAAGGAACACCTCTACAGATACCAAGTTGCAGTTTCCTGGAAGAAAAAA